TCTAAATTAAGGTCCCTTTTTAGGTCCCCAATATAGTCCGGCACCCTTTTAAAAAGAACCCTAAAAGGGACCCTAGTATTGAAAACTAACCATATAGGCCGGGTTTATAGGGCTTAGAGCTTATAGGGCTGAAAGTGTTTAGGGTGTATTTTAGGGTTTCGGGTGCACGTAGGGTTTATAGGGTTTAGGGTGTAGGCATGTTTAGGCGATTTGTTGGTTTGGGTTCTAGAGCTTTGAGGTTCGAATGGCATCAGTGGATTTCTAGAAGACGTACATGCATACATACACATGTACACCCATCTCTACATACAGCATCAAAACCCCTAATATAAGCCTATGACATCAAACTAACCCCTACACACCCTCAGATACCCCTATTACCAAACGCGTATCACGCCCAAAAACCAGAAAGCATCCTTCATTGCAGGCCCGTAGCTTGGTTTTGGCGGGCTTCACCGGCACACCGATCCTCTCGGAGCCCAGCGAGGGACGACAGCTCCTGGGCGTCGACGCTTGTTATATTATATATATATATAGTTTGTATTATATCATGTATTTGCAATGTTTTCGCGCCCGCATATAACACGCGGGTTGCAGAGAACCGAATGGGGGGGCAGGGCGGTAGAAAAATGTGCCGCTGGACCCGCCGCGTTTCGCGCTCAAGCCCTAACCGGCTGCCCATGCATGGACACTGACGAATTCGTTTAAGAATCCTACAGATATTCAAGCACCTCGAATTTCGAAACGTCTGAACTGCCTATGGAACCTGAAATCTAAGCCCAACTTTGAGTGCCCGATACGACCCTAAAGACGGTGAGGCGAACATCAAAACGTCCAAAACGATCACTACAGTACCTATAGTCTCCATCATAGTTCCTTTCTTGGGGGCTACTTGTGCAGGATCCTAATGTTACTCAACTTATAAAGGAACTGCAATGGAGGCTGTGGAGGCAAATGATACAGCCCTAGGACGGCACACACGCGAAGAGAGCACAAATACTATAAGGGCCTTCAGCAACTACCTAGGCTATTTTGGGTGGGTTCCTTATTGTAAATATACTATAAAGGACCCCCCCAAACCCCTATCAAAATTATCAAGGCCCCTATATTACAGCAGCAATCCATGAGGCTCCTGGACATCATCAAGGGCGTCCTGGCGCCAGATGGAGACGAAGGATATCTCTCCTCCTTTCCGATGCCTCTCGAAGAAACCTCTTTGGTTTAGGGTTTAGGGTTTATTGGTGTTCTTACTTACCTTACGGACGAAATGAACCCCAAAAGGCTTTCAGGTTCATATGCCATATTATAGGGATTATAGTATAAGGGTATAGGGCCCCTACTTGTACGGGTCATTTCGTGCCCAAGGTATGTTGTTGTGCGAAGGTGAGAGGTCAAGCTCTGGTTTATGGGTTCAGGGTTGCGCATTCTGGTGTGGTTGCCTCCTTAGGCTTTGGGTTTTTGTGTTTGATCATGCGTTTTCGTTTGGGGTTCGGGGTCAGGGTGTCATGGATTGGTGGTTACCTGGCACCGTTCATCCGCTGTACAGGGTTCCGGGTTTTCGCGTGCGGGACCCCCCGACCCCCAACGGCAGTATCCTTATAAGAGCTATCCCCTAAACATCAAAAACAAGCCCGACGTGAGCTACCCTCCCCCAAGTTCCAAATCAACGCCCTGAATCGGGAAGCTGGGCATGAGGAAGATGTTTTGGGGTATATAATTGGTCAAACCGAGAATGGGACTACAATGCAGACTATAGGTAGGGTTATCATGGGTTCAGGGGTTTAGGGTTCAGGGGTCTAGGGTTTATGGGTTTGGGGATCGAACCCCAGAGTTTGGGGCTTTAGGGTTTGAGGGGTCAGTGTTATGTTTGAGCAACAGGTTGAACAAAGCCCTCACGACCCTCTTCTTGGCATGTTGGGAC